GATGGCACGTCACGTGATCCCAGGCCCCGCCTTGGATCAGCGACCTTCCATCGCGGCTATCCCGATGGTCTTCCTTCCTGCGGCCTGCATAACAAAAGGAAGCAACTCCTTGTTACCTTGTAACATTTGTGCTTGACAACCTGGATGAATGCTCGGACAAGCTCTCTTCGTTCTGGCGTTTAGCAGCCGAAATGTCAGAATCACGGGAGAAGCAATGGAAATTCCTGATCATGACCAAGTCGATAGACTCGCTCGATGAGTGGCTGAAGGGCTCGCCGACAATTGTACTCGAGGATGAATTATCACTGGAAGACGTCGATCCCTGTGTCAGGGATGAGATTGACTACGCGTTGCATCAGCTCGATGCCAGATACGCATCAACACTATCAATCGATAGATACCGAGACGATCTGTTGAGGAAATGCGGTAATGATGTTGGCCTGACCCGGCTCCTCGTTCAAGACATCCAGAACGGCCCCTCTTTAGATGCTCTCACAAATGCCCTGGAAAGGCTTCCGGAAGTGAATTTGGAAGTTCTCTTCCGGAAGATTATGCGCACCGTGCCGGAAGCCAAGCGCAGTCTCGTGGCCAGGGCCATTACCTGGCTCGTATTTGCCTTTCGGCCCCTTAGTATTGGCGAGCTATGCTCAGTACTTGGCATATCTGAATCGACCCAAGATGCAGATGGTATGAGGGCAATGAATGCGCTGACTGGCATCCCAATCTTTGATTTCTCCAACCCGCAGGAGATGCGCTTCCAACATGCAGAGCTAAAGAATCTGATTCTCCAGTGTGATAAGGAGGAGTGGTATCATGTCCAGGCGACTGCACATGAAATGATGGCAGAAGCCTGCCTTGCATTCTTGGGCACCACTAGTGCCCATGATGCTTTGAACACGGTGTGCGAGGTTCGGCATGGTGTTCTGTCAACACCATGTGTCCGGCCCCGGGTAGATGTAGCCACTTATGCTGTGTGCTACTGGGATCGGCACTATCGACTTGCATCCAACAAGAGTCGTTTGATAACGCAAGTGGTGGAGTTTTTCAAGAGCAAGGCAGCGTTCCGGGGTTGGCAGATGGCACATTGGTTCATGTCGAATCCGTTTTCTCGGGTGGATCGCACCTATGTTTGCCCGCTACCACTCGTGGCTTCCATGGGCCTGGACGATGTATATGAGCGATGGATACAAGACAACGGCATGTCCGAAGCCGAGCAAAAGCTGTGGCTTCCGTATGCCGTGGCCGAGGCGGCAAGAAACAGACATGGCAGTTTGGTGCTTCACCTGCTACGGTCAGTGGAGCTGGACAGGGCAACGGCCGAGTACGTGCTCGAAGCAGCTTGCTCGGGGGGAGATGAGGACGTGCTTTTGGATGTCGTGTCGCACATTCGCAAGAAGGCAGTGCCATCATTCACATGGCCGGCTTTTGTCGTCCGCCGGGCGGCATGGAATGGCCATGCCAAGGTTGTGCAGGCGCTGATGGACGAGGGTGCCGACATCAGTGGCAGCGAGGGAGCGCCGTTTGGCCAATGCTCTCTGTATATAGCAGCACGCAACGGTCACGTCGAGGTGGTCAAGCTGGTGGCCATGCACGATGAAAGCCTTGTGACGGCGCGCGACGAGTGGGACAATTCGGTGCTGGATGCGGCGGCCCGGTGGGGAAATGCCAACATGGTCAGACTGCTACTCGAGAAGGGCGCTCCCCTCAACGCAGACGACGGCGGAGCCATTAGCAATGCATGTGAAATAGGCGCGCACGCCGCCGTACGCGTGCTCCTCGAACACGGAGCGCAGACGGAAACGAAGGGCGATGGCACAAGGTGGCCGCCGCTGCACACGGCTATCCAAGAAGGCGCGTGGCAGTGTGTTCGAGAGCTGCTTCGGTTCAAGAGCGACGCGAACCACGAATGCTCAGGCGGCACGCCGCTGATGTTTGCTGTCAAAGCAAAGCGGCTCGACATGGTGCAACTGCTGGTGGAGCATGGGGCGGATGTGAACAAGCGGCATGACGAGCAGACGGCGACGGCTCTGCAGACGGCTCTGCAGACGGCTCTGCAGACAGCTATGAGCCAGGAGAGCAGGCGGGCCATGGTGGAGTGGCTGGTCGACAAGGGCGCCGACGTCAACCTGCGCACGCCCGAGAGCTCGCCGCTGTTTGACGCGTGTCTGGAAGGTGACGTCGACATGGTGCGGCTGTTGCTCGACAAAGGCGCCAAGGTGAACGACGTGTGCAACAGCCTGTGGACGCCGCTGCATGGCGCTTTCAAGAGCGCCGCCGTGACGAGCTTGTTGCTTGAGGCCGGCGCATCCGTTGATCAAGTCGTGGCCGAGAGCGGGCGCTCGCCGCTGTTCCTCGCGGCCGAATGGGGCCAGACGGACGTGGTGGCGGTGCTGGTCGAACACCATGCCGACGTCAACCTGCCCTATCGCCCCGTCGACTTCGACACGCTGTCCGGCTTCACGCCGCTGCTCGCTGCCCTCAAGGCCGGCCATGGCGACACGGCGCGCGTGCTGCTCGAGGCCGGCGCCGATACCAGCATCAAGCCAGCAAGCGGCATCCATCCCGTCTTGTACATGGACACGACGGACCTGCTGCGCATGGTGCTCGAGTTCCAGCCTGACCTTAGCCTGGCCGACCGCGACGGCGACACGGCCCTCAATGCCGCCCTGGAACGCGACACCGCCCAGCTGGCTGACATGAAGCTGCTCGTCCATGCCGGCAGCAACGTCGACACCACCAACACGGCCGGCTGGACGCCACTGCACAAGGCCATTGACAAGGACAAGCTCGACATTGCGCGCTTCTTGCTCAAGCGCGGCGCCAATGCCAATGCCCTCGCCCTCAACACCGGCGCCCCGTTGCACCTGGCCTGCTCCAAGGCCTCTCCCGCTTCCGTCCGCCTCTTGGTTGACGCCGGCGCCAATGTTAATCTCATCGCCTCTTACCATGGCTCACCCGCCCAGGCCGCCTGCCGACGCTCGTTTGCCATCGGTGTGGATGAGGACGAGGACGACGTAGAGCGCACGATGCTTGAGGTCCTGCAAAGCCTTGTTTCCGACACCGCCACAATGGACGTCAACGCTACCGGCGGGCTCTACGGGTCGGCCCTAGCCGCCGGTAGCTACCACGCCACGGCTCCAGTCCTGCAATTCCTGCTCCGTCTCGGCGCGACGACGGACACGTGTGACCAGGCCGGCCGCTACCCCATTCTCCTCGCCGCCGTTAGACCTACCACGGCCAACTTTGCCGTCCTGCGTGACGCCAACGCCAATCTCTACGCACGTGACAACGCCGGTCGCACGCTGGTGCATTTCGCCATTGTGAGTGGGAATCTGCATCTACTCCGTTGTGTGCTGCAGGATACCAATGGCCTACTCCATGCACCCGATGCCGACGGCTGGACTCCGCTGCACTACGCCGCCAGAGGCACCTACCACCGCTTCTCCAACCTAGTCGATCAGGACATGCGCGAACAGCGCAAGCATGAATTTGTCGTCTTCCTCATCGACCAGGGCGCCGATATCTGCGCTCTCACCGTTGGGCCTGATGGCAAGCAGTCGTCGCCGCTCAAGCTGGCCAACTACCATGGTGCCAAGCAAGAGACTTTGCATCTGTTGACTCCCCATAACAATGTCAACAACGACGTCATGGCATGGGGTCAAATCTCTCACCAGTCAAAAAAGGCCTATGATGCATGGCCGTATTGTTACTGTGATGGTTGTCTCCACGTAAGTTCAAACCCTTTTTTCCTCTGTTTCTAACAAAGATACTCATGCCTAGTCACAGAAAGTCAGCGGCTTCCGCTACAAGTGCAGAGATTGCTGGGACTTCGATTTTTGCTACAAGTGCTATGCCAGCAGACATGTGCTGCACCCACATCACGAATGGGATACCATGGGCCAGGAGTTTGAAGACGAGCCAGATGCTCAATCCGAAGCCGCTAACCAAGACTCGGACAGCGATGACGACGACACAGACTCAGATAGTGATGATAGCTCTAGTAAGAAGTCCTCTACATAGAGAAAACAAATAATGAATAAATATCATAGAATAATACGTAGCATATCAAGATCACCAGTGGCTGCGATGAGGACGAATGCAGAGCAAGAGTGGTCGTAGGTGAGATTTATCAAGTTGCAGACGGTAGTGCATCCCGTTTCCGGACTAGTGCGGTTCCGCGCCCCGATCTCGCCAAAAAGCGGGCGATTTTCCAGCAGTAGTAACAACAACCCCACAAGCAGAGTTCCCAATAGCCAAACATGGACTTCACCAAGTTGACCGAGATTGAGCTACCAGCGGCTTTTGACGCCCATGTACATCTTCGCGATGGCGAGATGTCGCAGCTCGTCACACCTACGATTCGCAAGGGTGGTGTGAATCAGGTGTATGTCATGGTAAGCTAGCGTCTTTTGCACAAACAATCTTTATACTCAAGTCAAGTCTCGATTCACGTCTTGGCCTATCGATCTTGTTTTACCTACTGCTTACCCCTTGCCATGTCTATTCTTCTTGTTCTCATCTTTGAGTTTTATTTTCTTCACAAAATGCTTATAGTGCTTCTTCAACTTTCATATGCTTACTACTATAGCCTAACCTCGTCCCACCCGTTACGTCCGTGCAGCAGTGCCTTGAGTACCGCGACCGTCTCCGGGCAATTGAACCGAATGTGGATTATCTCATGTCCTTGTATCTCCACGAAGATATTACACCCGAGGTGATTCGTGAAGCGAAGAAAGCGGGGATCACAGGTGTAAAGTCCTACCCGGCAGGTGTTACAACAGTACGTGCAACTCCCATCACCTATCTACGGCCAATGTAGCTATCAAACGCAAAACGCTAGACACTACACATGCGTGCATCGGATAACCCATCCTTCCAGAACTCGTCCTCCGGTGTCCTCGACTACGAGACCTTCTACCCCGTCTTCGAGGAAATGGAAAAACAAAACATGGTCCTCAACCTCCACGGCGAAGTCCCATCCACACCAGCCGGCACCCACGTCTCATCAACCAAAGACACAAAGACAGGCGCCATCACCATCCTCAACGCCGAACCCGCCTTCCTACCCACCTTCATCTCCCTGCACAAGCGCTTCCCCAAACTCCGTATTATCCTCGAGCACTGCAGCACCGCCGCCGCTCTAGATGCAGTCCGTTCCTGTGGCCCTTCGGTGTCTGGTACTATTACCGCGCACCACCTGAGCCTCATCATTGATGATTGGGCGGGCGACCCATTCTGTTTCTGCAAGCCTGTTGCTAAGACACCCGAGGATCGTGACGCGTTACTCCGCGCTGTTGTGCAGAGCAACGGGAGATTTTACCTGGGGACGGATTCGGCGCCGCATCCGCGGGGCAAGAAGAGAGGTGAGGATAAGGTTGCTGCGGGTGTGTTCACCCAGCCGTATGCGTTAGGATACGTATTGGATGCGCTTCAGACGGGGATTGAGAGGGGAGTCATCAAGGAGAGTGAGGTGACCAAGGAGGTTCTTGAGGGCTTCTTTGGGGTGTGGGGAAGGAAGTTTTACCAAGTTGAGGAAAAGAGGGGTGAGAAGGTCGTTTTGAAGAAGGGTGGAGAGAAGGTCTTGGACGTGTTGAAGAAGGAGGGTGGCGGAGATGTAGAGGTTGTGCCTTTCAGGAAGGGTGAAATGACTTGGAGTGTTGAGTGGAAGTGAGCGTCTGCTCCAACATCGACGTTTCGCAAATTTCATGTCTACAGAGGTCTATATCAAGCTTGTAATGTAGTTCTCAAATACAAGACGTGATGACGAAGCGTATCGCCTGGCCGAGCCATAACTAATAAAAATCCCTCACGTTTGTCAGACTCTTCCATCCACCCTCTCATGCGTCTCTGACTCTGGTTTCTTGTTCCATTTCCTTGGGACAAATTCCACGGACAATCCTGAATGACGAGTTTGACGGGTTTTTGATGAGCTAGTCGAGCTTCCTCTGCTATGCCGGCGTGAGAATACAGAATTTCTACGACTATTCTCTACTTCACTAGCAGTGGAACTGTCTATCAATGGCGATTCTCTTACACATGGCTGTTTCCGGGGTCGCTCCTCGGACAGATGGCTCTCGCTTTCCGTGGTATTGTCTTCTATGTCATCTTCTCGATTGCGCTTTATGGACATTGGTATCATAGCTGGTCCGGAAGATGCCATATTCGAAAACGATAGCCTACCGATGCTGGAGCTCAGGCTTTTGGAAAGGCGGGAAAAGAAGCCAGTGCTCTGCTGATCGTAGCGACTAGGCTTTGAGAGCGTAGGGGCTTGTACAAACTCGTGTGCGGGTCCATCCGATAGTTTTGCATATTTCTTAGACGGTGTCGAACTGCTCTTATCATCATGCATGGTCTCGACGGTTCGCGATTTTCTGAGCATCGTGACTACCTGTTTAGTACTCTCCTTGCGCTGTTCCTTCGGAAATAGTGGTCCTTCGGGTACGATAGATTGGGAATCGGCCTTGAAATTTATGTCCTGATCTGACTCGACCGCGGTATCGCTAGGAAAACTAATCATTTCCTCGGAGTTTTGTGTCGTCCCGTTCGCCGTGAATCCTGAGTCGTTCTTCTGAATAGCTCGAAGTAAAGCTAATCCAATTGCAAAAGCAACCTTACGGTCCACCCCATTCCCAACGATCTTATATTGCTCGATAAGACTACCGATGATCGGCTCTTGATCCATATAACCTTGCGTACGACGAGCTTCTAATACACTAATTGACCGATGTTGGTCCCAATGTAATAATGCGCCGGCGCGAGAATTATGAACAGCAAGACCCGTCGTGATACATGGTACCAGACCCTTCGCTTTGATCCTCCTGTAGGCCCTTCCAGCCTCGGTCCTTGGATCCCTTAATAGCGTCGGAATGAGGCCGAGTTGATCGGCTTCTCTGTAACCACAGCCCGGTGGCTGTTTCGGAATGCATTTAACAAGTGCTCGTTGTTTGCGTGTGGGTAGTCCCGGCACTCTATGATCTGGAAACGGAATGCAGGTCTGAATGACGCCAGTTCCAATATCAGGCAACTCATGACTCACAGTCGATGCAGGCATATACGCAAATGGTGTAGGGTAATACTCTCGTTCACCAAATCGCTCTCCATTGGGTAGACGACCAAGGCTTTTCCCAGCGGTGTCCTCAAGTGGTCTTGCGTGCGTGTGCCAGGGTTGGGCTATTGGTTCAAGGCCTGGAGTGTTACACGGGGTTAGGCTATACTTCTCTAGGCTCGGTCCGTACTAAGGCGAGGTAGACTAAAGCGGTAGTCCGTGAGGTATCGTATGGAATGATCAGGTGGAAAAGAGTTATCGTTGTAACCA